TAGGAGATTTCCGGCATTTTGTGTTGATTCGATTAATGTGTTCGCACCAGGTAAGTTTGTTGTCGAACATTAATCCCAAGAACTTAAAGTTATTAACACACTCAATAATATTATCATTTAAATACAGAATTGGGTCGTAATGAGGTTTTCTGAGTCGGCAGAAATGCACACATTTAGTTTTCTCTTTGGAGAACTTGAAACCAACTCTTTCGCCATTCTTGATTATGGTGTTTATTGCCGGTTGTAATATGCGTGTAATGTCTCCCACCCTCTTTGCACTACAGAAGATAGCCAAATCATCAACATAGATGCATTTCTTGATTTCCTTATTGACATCTTTACAAATTTCGTTTATGGCAATCGCAAAGAGTGTGCAGCTAAGCGTAGATCCTTGCGGGACTCCATTTTCTAGTGATCGAGTTGATGACAATTCCTTCCCAACTCTTACTTTGAAATTTCTGTTTTCAAGAAAGGATTTTATCATCAACGGCAATCTTCCTTTTAGTGCAAACTTAGACAGTTTATCGAGAATTCCATAGCGCCATGTCATATCGAAGGCTCCTTTTATGTCAAAGAAAGTAGCCACTAAGTGTTCCCTTTTTCGAAATGCTTCTTGGATTGAATGTTCTAGTAATACTAAATGATCTACTGTTGAGCGCTTCTTTCTATACCCTGCTTGGTAGGGAACTAATAAGTTATTGACTTCTAGATAATTCTGCAATCTGTTGTTTATCATCTTTTCAAAGAGTTTGCCCATACAGCAGGTAAGACTAATAGGTCTTAAGCTGGATGGTGTCAGTCTATCTTTATTAGGTTTAGTTATAGGTACTACCAGAGCCTCTTTCCAGGATTCCGGGTAAGTATTTTCATCCCATAGTTTGTTGTAAAATTTTAACAATATCTCTTTCATTTCAGGTGTTAGATTTTTTAGCATATCGTTGGAAATTGTGTCTGGACCGGGAGCACCTGCTTTAGACTGCTGGAGTACCTCTTCAAGCTCTTTCCTACTGAAAGGCAAATTATATTCTAGGTCATTTTCTGTGGTAAAATCTATATTTATTCCTACATTGTTTTTTATGTGTAAAAAGCTTGGATCATAATTGTTGCTGCTACTGACTCTTTCAAAGTGTGTTGCTATTATGTTTGCTATTTCTACAGGGTCGGTGGTTATGGGTCCGGTTTCTGTTTGTATAGAGGTAATTGGGTTATTTGTGTAAATACTTGATACTGCTTTCACCTTCTTCCACACAGTTTTTATTTCCGTATCTGGCGTGATTGTTTTGGTGTACTGATTCCAGGTATCTCTTTTGTTTTTAAGTATAGTTCCTCTTGCGGTTGCTCTAATTTTTTTAAATTTTACTAGGTTTTCAGTAGTAGGACTTCTTCTAAACTCGTTAAAAGCCTGTTTTTTGAGTTTCGTTATATTTTTTGTTTCTTCATTCCACCAAGGTACAGTTTTTTTGAAAGGTTTACCTCCAGATTTCGGTATACTTAAATTTGCTGCGTCCAGTATGCAGTCTGTTATATTTTTCACGCCAAGATCTGTTGGCAGTTTAACAGAGTTTCTAAACTTATTCCATTCAGCTTTGTGTGTGTTCCATTTAATAGGTAGAGTATTTATAGTTTTTGATGTATCCAGTTCAATGTGTATGGGAAATTGGAAATAATCCTTGGATTATTATTATTATTATTATTTATTTTTTTTTCGTCCTTTGCAGGGTTGTTCAACAACGTGGGATTCGTGATCATTCACGCTGCTTCAAACTTGCGATTATTTCAGCAGGATTTCGCCATTACATGTTTTCAGGTAAGTTAAGAGTCTTCCTGACAATCCTACACGTCTCCAATACGACAGATTTCTGCATTTCAGGAAACACTTCTTTATGATTTATTTTTAGAGTTTCGACGTATTTTTTCAAGTTTTTTGTTGCCAATCCGGTTGCAGAGATGACTATCGGTAAAATTTCGACTTTTCTCAAATTGTTAATAGATTTGAATTCTTCTGCCAGCTCAAAATATTTACTTATTTTTTCCCTTTCTGTTTTATTTAGGTTGTGATCGTTCGGATGAGCAACATCTACGAAGTACCCAATCTTGTCCTGTTTGTTGAGAAGCACGATATCTGGTCGGTTGTTTGCCACAGTTTTGTCGGTTTGTATTGTTGTGTCCCAGTATAAACGGTAAGTATTGTTTTCGAGAATGGGAAAAGGTACATATTTGTAGTATCTTTCTTTTTGTTCTTTCAGGTTGCACAGTATTGCCAGTTCTTGATGGATTATGTTCGCAGTCAAATTATGTCGTTGGAGGTATTCAGTTGGAGCGAGGTAAGTGCATCCTGAGATAACGTGCTCTATTGTTTCCGCATGTCTGTTACACAGTCTGCATAGGTCGTTATCCAGCTGCACTCCATGTACAAATTTTATGTGATTTTTTGTTGCAATTACATTGTGTTGTATTGCTACCACGAATCCTTCTGTTTCTCCAAACAGTTGTCCCTTTCGTAGCCACTCAGTTGAGGACTGGAGATCGGCATCTTTCAGCTTATTGGGAAATCTGCCGTGCAACGGTTTTGACAGCCAAGCAGTCTTGAATTCAGCCATAGTTAGCACAGGAACATCTTAATTGGAGGTCAGATTTACAGGTGAGTAGCGATCCAGGAAGTAGATTATTTTATACAGCTCTGATTCTTCTGTTTTGATCTAAAAGTACTTTTTCAGTTCATTTATCTGTCTCTGATATAGGGTTTTGAGATCTAGCAGGCCTCGTCCGCCCGTGCTACGTGGCATATACAGCCGTTCAGTGTAGGCTCTTGAATGGTGTATGTTGAACTTGGTCAGTTGTACTCGGATGGATCTATTTGTAGCCTCAAGTTCAGTTTGTGACCATCCAATAACCCCGAAGGAGTACGTTATCGTTGGCACTGCCCATGAATTAATAACCTTTATTTTATTTTTCGCTGTAAGTTCCGTACGAAGAATGCTGGACACTCTGGTTTCATAAGTTATGTTTAATTTTTCTTTTACGCATTTTCGGTCTATTATTAGTCTTTGTTCGTAGCCCAAATACTTGTAATTATGTTTAAATAGCGAATATTTTTTCATTTCCTAGATTGTCAAATTCTTGGGGCCTTCCTTTGCGGACTATCAATTCAGTACATTTGTCTAATCCGAATTTCATTTTTATGTCAGTGCTAAATGTTTCCGTGAGGCTAATTAATCGATTTAGGTCTTTCTCTGTTGGAGCGTAAAGCTTGAGATCATCTACATAGAACAGATGAAATATGTTGTAGCTCTGCTCGCCATTCTTGAAATTGTATCCCATACCCGATTGACACAAAGCTTTAGATAGAGGATAGAGACTGAGTTTAAACCACAGCGGGCTAAGCGAATCTCCCTGGAAAATTCCGCTCTGTATGGGTATTTCCTCGGTTGTTATTTGTTATTCTGCTGTATTAACAAGCAGCTTTGTTCTCCAGGTTCCCATACATGTTTTAAGAAGCTCCACAATTCCTTCGTGTATTTTTCCAGGACTTTGATCAGCCAGCTGTGGGGCACAGAATCGAATGCCTTCTGTTAATCGATCCAAGCCACGGCAGTATTTCTTTGATGATGTCTCGCATCTTGTGTAATCACGCTGTCTATCAAGAGCTGTTCTTTGCATCCTTGTGCTCGTGCTCGGCTTTTTTTCTGCTCTTCAGTAATTAGCTTCTGTCCACTTAGGTGTTTTTCTATACTATTTGCTATGACGGATGTAATTATTTTATACAAGGTGGGCAAGCATGTGATGGGGCGGTAGTTCTTAGGTTCTTCTGTTTTTTTCAGATTTAGGGATCATGAACGTTATTCCTTTTGTCAGGTATCCGGGCATTGTTTATTTGTTGTTTAGAATACGGTTGATTTGTGCTGCTAACATTTTCCATATCGATGTGTTCTTCCACCAGTAATTGTGCAAATGGTCAACTCCTGCCGCTTTCCAATTTTGTGTTTCCAAAATAATTTTTATTTATTTATTATTATTATTATTATTAATATTAATATTATTATTATTATTACTATATCTAGTATATTTTTCTGCACTTGATTTTTTGTGGTTTCAAATTATTAAGTACATGTTATGACATACAGGGTGAGTCCGAAATAAGTGCGCATTTTGCTATGATAGATAGAGTAAAGTAGGACAATCACGTTTTGCATAGGTACATGTGTCCGCAAACGTCTTGTTAAGAAAATACAGAGTGGTGAAATTTTGTCTTTTTGCCCTTACGCATTTTGACCTTGAGCGATTTTTCCCAAACTTTCAGAGAGTGTTTGCGATGTTCTCAAGCATTTTTATAAAAAATCCGAGTCGCTCTAGGTCCGGTCCTGGAAAAGTGGAACTCAAACGGATTTTTTAGAGAGATGCCTAACAAAATCGCTCAAGGCACTTTGAATCTTAAGGTAAAAAGTCAAAATTTTCCGAAAATTTCAATACTCTGTATTTTCTTAACGAGACGTTTGCGCACAAATGTACCTATGCAAAAAGTGATTGTCCTACTGTACTCTAGTTATCATAACAAAATGCGCACTTATTTCGGATTCACCCTGTAATATAAAAATATTCGACAAGTTTTTAGAGCTAAAAGTTTGTGCTTCAATACGAGTGCCCTGAGAAACAAGGACTTTCTTACATGAGATTTGTAAGTCTTAAAATAAGCCCAAGAAGCACCCCCTGCATTTTCAGCTATAAATTGACAAACACCCAAATAATTTCAATCAAATTTTAAGAATGCATCAAAATATCTTTGTTGTTGGTAATTCATTTACTAAAAAACTATATTATTTATTTGTCCTTGCACACTTGAACAAGCTGTGCTTCAAGCCTTGAACCATCAAAAAAATTAGACGGTTTACCAAAATCAAATGTACAAAGACTCGCATCTTACACTGGATACCAAAACCAAGAATAGTATAATGAAAGCCATTTTAACGCTGGATCTACAAATTTGCGACCTTATCTTTTACCATATTCTCCACATCAGAGTCGGATTCTCTCCTGCGCTCCCCGGGTTCCGTTTCGGGTTCAATTTCCCGGCGCGGTCCCTCCGACTTGCTGCGCCTTGATGGCCTCCAATTCGGCCCATATCGTTCTTCCGACTGAAATTAAAATGAATACATCTCTAACTCATGCCCCATTGATTACTTCTCAACTTTTGCATGCATATACATCACCGATCGGGAAGTTTCCACAAATTTTTTCAATGACAGATATAATAAAGTTCTTGGAAAAAATTTGCTACATAGCTAAAAATAAAACGTTATTTTCTAGAAATAATATACATAAGCAACATTAGAATTTAGCAAAATGTACAGCCATAGCTTTAAGGATTAATAAAATATCAAATGTTGATCAACTTTATTCTTTTTCATCTGGCAATACTTTCAAAATAATTCTACTCTGGCTCAAGAAAGTGCTAATTGAATTTTTTAATGAAATTGTTATTATATCTGCCATGATTTGTGAATTTATCTACAGGGTTAAATAAGTTTTCTCAATTGTGGTATGTCCTAGCCTGTCCTGGAAAATTATAAAAATACTGTTTTGAAGAAAGCTATGTACAACAAAGCAGAGAACACAACATGAAGTTTTTGTAAATTATGAATGCATATTTGCGAGGAACAAGCTCTGTCTTTACTGATCGTCATTTTTATTGGGGACATATTCTTGCTAACCCTGTAGATACCCGCCATCTAAATCTTCTTCTAGCGGAAACGTATTCATTTTAAATTCGTAGTAAATAAACCGCCACATGCATTTTCATTATCTTGCAAAAAAGAGCCTGTTATTTGCTATTTAGGCCTGTCGGCGAGTGACGGGAGCAAATCCGGGCAAGCTGGAATAAATTGTAATCTGTTTTCCTTCGAAGAAAAATATACTTGATATTTTTGCACCCTCACACAGGCCCGGATCCAGCCGGTATGCTGAAAAAATGGCAAAACACTGTATGTATTTTTTCTCATAATATTAGCAAACATCTCAATAGTATATATTTTATAGCAAAATATGTAGTTATTAAAATTGAAGAAGAGTAAATACTGTATCAAAAACGTAATGCATATTTTTTTGTACGACTACCTGTTTTGTGGTTATTGGGTGTCGAACTCTTGAAACCTAGATAACTCTATAAGCACTTAACATTTTTTTCTATAGTAGGGACTCTGAAAGCATTTTCCTTGCAAAAAGCATATAAAAAAAATCGCACTGGTATTCACAAGGTAAAAAATCTAAATAACTATTTATTTAATGTATTGAACAAAACTTATTCCACTTATGGTAAGCACTACTTATTTGATGGAAATGAAAAAAAGTTAAAGTTTGTTATATCTGGACATTTTGTGAACCTCTCTGAACCATACAAAACAGTAACCCTGCTTTTGTGCTTCTGAATGAACTGTGTAGCTAAGTTCTTCTTGTAGAAGACAGGTTGATGCCTCTATAACTTCGAAACAGGTGTAGTTGCACATTTTTTCTAGACTATTTACTGTGCTCTAATTTCGGTTACCTACTACATATTTCGCTCTAACGGCCAAATATCCGGGCTTCCTGGAGAGGAGGGGTGCAAATTCAATATAATAATATGTGCTCTTTACCTTACCAGCAGCTTGTCCGGAATTGCTGCCGCTATTAGCTGTTTTATAGGACTTGGCGAACTGGTCTAATTAGTAGTAATAATTTATTATGGCGACCACTATCATGCAGGCTAAACACAATTCGTTTAGCCTGAATTATTATATGACGTTATCAAAAAAAGCAAAAAAGTTACTTACAAACATTACACACACTAAAGCCCGGTCTAGCAAGCTAATAGTCTAAAATGCACAACTATTATCTCCTAATGCTTAATTTTAACTTCAATTTTATATGCATCCGTTAAGCCAACTCTTAGTGCCTTATTCATTGAGCACTAAAATTTGGCCTGTGCGCATGCTTCTGTTACAAGTAGCAAAATTTGTCAGCTTAATTGCTTCAGGTCTTGCGTAGATAAACAAGAAACACTATTTATCTTGAATGAATTGATAATTCGATATTGATAATATTGTCTTGTTTCTGTTGTGCATTTGCATTAAGCTATTATGAATTGTAAATTAAGAAATAATAATTGAGCATTATAGACTATTAGCTGGCCTAACCGGGCTTAAGACCACAACTTGCGATTAAATATCTTAACTCATTGTGCATCCCTGAGTTTGGTAATTTTTTAATTTTTTTACACCAGATAATTTTTTAAAAATTTTTCTATTTTCAACCTCATGTTGTGAATGTTTAAACAGTGCGCAAAAACGATGTTCTTCTACTACAGTTTTAGCAAAATCAGATAATATTGTTTTTTCAGTACACAAATTGGCTCGTTAGAAATCAGAATATACACATGATAAATTGCGTTTTGTTGAGGAATAGCAGATATAAGCGATTGGTATTAGTTATTTTCCAAAATAGTTCTTCAAGCCAGCTCCCGCAATTAAGACGAGCATTTTTTCTCCAATTTCAAAAAAAAAAGCTCGTGCATCTTTTATATAGCTACTATAGGTACTTCAAGTATCAATGACAAATACATAACAGGTTAGAGGTAACGAACTAAAAAAGACAAAGTACCGAGTTTAGGGCTGCTCAAAACTCACTCAGAGCTGTGATCTAGTATCTAACACCACATGTTCACCATAAATTAACAAGTATCGCGTACAAAATATAACCAAATCTTGATTTAAAAAAAATTCTAAACAGTTTAAGGAATGAGAAATGAAGTAAGGTTACCTATGTTTTTTGTTGTTGTAATCCTGATTGGTCAGTTACAAGATGAGAAACAAGATACATGGCCTCTAACTTATATCTTGTTAAAGGGGGTATGATCCAAAACTGAAAGTTGTAGTGCAAAAAAATCTAAGAATAAATATTTAAACCGCATCTTGCTACGATGGTCCGTTTTCATTATTTATCCATTCAGTGTCGAAGCAGTCAAGAAGTGTAGAAGTGTTCAAATAGTGAGAAGTCAATCCGTCCAGAAGATATCAGAAGCTATTTCCATCACCATGCTCAGTAAGAGTCTAGAGAGCTTTTGAAAAATTTGGCCCCAAGGCCCAGTTGTACATTCTCGGTTCAAAACGAAGTTCAACTAAAATCGACTGGTACTTGAGCTCTCCCATTTCAAATACATTGCTGTTAGCTATTAATCATATTTTATCAATTTTGACAGCAATGCATTTCAAATGGGGAAGTTCAAGTACCAGTCGAGTTTAGTTGAACATTGTTTCGAACCAAGATTGCACGACTGGGCCTAAGACTCCGAAAAGCAGAGAAGCCAAATTCAGTCAAGCTGGATCCCAGAAGCCGGGAATTAGAAGCCCATTCAAATAGCAGACAAATGCAAGAAGAAAAACCACCAGCTATCACGCTTCGGCGTGGTACATCAATGAGTCCAGTAAAAAGTTCAGTGAAAGTGTCAAAAGTTATAGTGAAAAAAAGCAAATCCAAAATGGCTAACATAAGGGGTAAGTCCGACTCACTTTCTGATAAACTCCGTGCCCATGACAAAGCAAAATCCCTAATTGTACTCAACGGATCCCTCAACTCCACCAACCAAACCCTTTCACAAGAAATTGACCACCTTAAATCCCAAGCCATCGAAAACGATCGCACCATCGCCTAATACGTGGACAACGAACAACGTTTAACTAATGAACCAGCGAACCTGCGCTCAGAATTAGAAACATCAACAAACCAAGAAGTTAATTACAATAACCTAGTACAACTTGTCAAAAACATGGAGACAAAACTAGAATATGCACTGTCCGCCAACTAACATCAGGCAAAAGAACTAGAAGCTCTAAAAAACAAAACTGAGTCTCCCGTTCCCTCAACTTCACATGCATCCCCCAGGAAAAGAAGGAAACAAAAATCCCCGTCAAACACCTTCTCAGAAGTAAGCTCACAAAACGAAATAGAAGAAATGGAAGATGAATCCGAGATTCAAATTCAGACGGCCCAAAACCCCCAGGAAGACTTTCCGCAATAAAGAAATCCTGATCACAAAAACCCACTACTCTCCCAAAGCCCAGACCTCTCAATATCCAGAAACCCAGTTCTTAAAAAAACATCAAACCCCAATGAAACTCCTGATAAACCAAGAATTCCCCCAATAATAATAAGGGACCCAAAGTACTGGCTGAAAATCCACCAGCTACTAGCCAATAATGACGTCAATATTGAGGATCCAAAAAAACATCCACTCGGTATCCAAATACTCCCAAAATCCACGGATGACCATAGAACAGCCACCAAGCTTCTAAAAGAAAAAAATTTAGAATACCACACCTACTTCCTCAAAGAAGAAAAAAAACTAAACATAATCATGAAAGGACTAAATAAAAAATTTTCCCTGGAGGACGTTGAAAAGGAACTAATAGAACTTGGCTACACTCCATCAGAATTACAATGGTACAAATCCGGTCCGAACAGAAATAACGAAACAGATCTAATAAAACTCCTTATACCACAAGAACAAGCAAATATATTTGAAATAACGTACATTTGCTACATAAGAGTACATATATCTCATCAAAAAGACCCAACAACCAAACACATTCCGCAATGCCACAACTGCCAAGTAGTTTGGGAACTGCGCTAGTAATTGTTTCGCCGAACCGAGATGCCACGAATGCGCAGGAAATCACCACTACAACGAATGCAAAAAACCACGGGACACCCTAGCCAAGTGCCTCAATTGCGAAGGAGACCATCCAGCAAGCCACAGAAATTGCCCAAGAAACCCAAACTTTGCAAGAAACTAAACCAATCATCCCAAATCTCAACTATACCAAAACCATCCCCAAAACCAGTCAATACCCATGTATCCTACGCTAGGATAGCACAAAACTCCTCCACGCTCTCACAAAGCCCCCAAATCCCCATATTCAATATCCTTTCACAAAATAACCAGGACCTGGAGCAAATAAATGACAATATAATCACTCGAATAAACACAAAAATAGAACAAAATCCACTAGTAAAAGCCTTCCTAACTCAACTCAATGGATAACACAACCAAAAAAGTAACAAACCTCTTCATAATCAGCTGGAACGCGAACTCCCTCTTTCCCAA